TATTACCCAAAACTAACCAGATAAAAATAAATCCAGCTATGCTAGCCAACTAAAAGAATATGTCAATGAACTGAACAGCTTTTGCACACAGTGCTAGGCTATCTTTTTGCTTTCTGCACCATTTAAGCAGTCAGTCTGTGACCCTGCTGAGATCTAGGTTAATGTTCATAGTAACCTTCACCTCGTCTGTATTTTTGACTGCCATTGCTAATTTCTCTTCATAGAATTTCTTTGCCAGTTAATGTGATGTGATGTGGTCAGGTGCCACTTCTTACTAGAGATCCCATCACTATATAGAAGCAGCAAGTGCTTTACAATTTGCCAAAAGGCTTCTCTAACTCTGGATTTGATAAATCAGGGAGCCAGTACAGTATGTGAAATTGTTCCCTCCCTAATTTCTGACATTGAAAACTTCACATTGGACTTAAAGCAACTTGGATGTTGTGCCTCTTCACTTTGCCTCCAGACTCTGGGAGCTTGATTTTCAAATTAAATGCAAATTTGAAAAGCAACCTACCCCCTTTCCTCCTATCAGTTTAAACTGACTCCAGCTTCAGTCAAGGCTTTGTGAATCTCCTATATAGTTGTAAATGGACTATATACTTTTATTGCTATTTTTTGTGTGTGTGTTTGTTGCTTGCCTTGCTGCTGCACTGTAATTTCCCAGATTGGTATCAATAAAATATATTCAATCCAATATCACAATCCTCTAAATACTACGGATAGTGTGATTGTGTTTGCAGCTTTTTCTACCAATTCTTTACAGCCCTGTAAAGAGTGAGCTCTTTAGAAGTGACTTTTTAATTTTTTTTTTTTTTTAAAGAAGTCAGTGGCTTACTGCTGGAGAACTCTAAACACCAAAGTCAGTTCAATGTAATTATAACATTTATGAATGAGAAAATCTTTTAGGTTGGTCTAATGTTTTTTTTTTAAACTCTGAGAATCTTAAAGTTTTTATTTTATTTTTCATTAATTGTTAAGAAGTTCCCCTTTTTCATTGTAGTGCTCATGTGATTTATTTATTCAGTGCATCTTCTTTCCTTTCTGTCACTTTACAGTGGAGAGGGCAGCCATGTATCTGGTCAGAGTAATGGCCGGGACCCCCAGGCACTGGCTAAAGCTGTTCAGATTCACCACGACACACTGAGGACCATGTACTTCGCCTGAGCTGCACCAGCCATCTTCACCGTCGTTCCTTTTCCTCATTTCTACCAGAGCGGGCAGAAAACCCACTCCCACCTCATCCCCATCCCTTACTCCCAACAATTACCCACTACACACACTCCACAGAGCTGCCAGCCAGTCTGCTTCTATCCAAAAAAAAAACACAACCCCCTCCTGTAAACACAGGCTGACACTGCAGCCTCATGCACTCAAACGGTTTTGAATATTATTGTTATTTTGTTGTTTTTACTTTATCAGGATGGTTTTAGGACTCTTTTATGTTGGATTTTTAAAAAGTGAATATTATGTAATTGTATTTTATGCTACCTTCCCACTCCTGTTCATGTAAGTATGCAATAGGGACAGGAGAAAAAATAGGCGCTAGATAGGAGAGGGGAAATATCGTAAACATTTTTTTGTCTTTTGTTTTTAACTGCCGCCATAACGCTGCCTCTACCCATCCTACAAACCAGATGCCAGTGTTCCAATCCCCTTATATTGGGGATCCTCCATTTGGGCGGTACTGAACACGCACACTTACATGTATCATTTCTAATTACTACATGACTTACATTCTTGTTTTCTTTTTATGATGGTATATTTTGTTGTTTTTTATGTTAAACAGCCTTGATGAGTCTGAGATATGGTACATTAGCACTTAGTGTTAGCCTGTAGGTGCCACCATTCCTGCACATAAAGAGTTTTAGTCATTTGCTAGTCCTCCGCTATTGGGATTAGCAGCGACAGAAGGAGCAGTATAGATGCAGGAGAGATGTGCTGTTGCACTCTTAGTCCTGATTGGCCAGTCCCTTAGAGATTTAGCCTATAGACGCCAGCCTAGTATAACACTAGAGGGACCATTTGCATAGAGTGTATCAGATATACTTGCACCCCATGCACCTAAACCAGCATTATTAACCAGCCAAAAGTGATGCCAACCAATGAAAAAGGGGCACTTAAACAGGAAGATAATCTATTATTTCTGTATCCATTGCTCTTTTAGGATTTATGAGGCACTTTTTTGTTTATGTACTAACTAACTTTACAAAAGGATGAGCTTGAATACTCGAATGGCCCACTTTAAACTCCCACACTTCCATTGTTTTCAGAACAAAGGCAACAGGCAAAGTTAACACACTATCTTAGACATTTGAAAGCAAGAGAGCAAACGGATCAGCCGTGTTTCAGAGCTGAACATGCTTTCAGCTCTGATCGTTCTGCACATAATCATTCCTACTAGTATTGTTTGCAGTGACGCCACAGTGCATTCTAACTCCCTGACTCTCAGCATTCTTATCATACCTTACACTCCTATCTTCCATACGTCCTGCTCTTCCATCTGCCGGCATTAACATATCAGCCTGGAAAACAAAAAGCACACCCATCAGGCTCCTGGTCTCTGTCTTGGCCTGTAGAGAAAAACAAAGCCGAATGCACTTGTCTCGTGTCCCATTCAGGCCAAACTATCACTCATCAGCATTTTTTGTCACTACTGTTTTTCCACATTATAGACCTTCAGCGTCCTCTGCCCTAATCCCCTAGTCTGTGTTTGCCAAATTTCTATTGGTGCTCTGTGTGCATGGGCGGCACAGATAGGGAATTGCTCATTGGACAGGGTGGGCCCCTATTACTACTACTTTATATGCCCTGACTTTACATCATGTAACTCTCTGGATATATGGGAAAAATGCATGTATCTTTTTATTTTTGACTGGATATTCTGAGCCACCTTACTATGGTTTTCTTAGAGGTAGGAGCCTTGGGCTCACCACTGCCTGTCAATTATTTTGCCTCAATTGTGTAATGGTTATAGACAATTTTTTTGTCATGAATATTGTGACTATTGTCAAATGTTCCTCAAGAGGGCACTGTGGAGAAGGTCTCGCAATTCCTCTTCTGTTGTCCTTAAAACGCCTCAAATCTTGTCTGATGGTCAGAGGCCCCTAATGTCGAAAGGGAATCCGGGAAAAGAGATCAGACAAGTTTGATTTCAAAATCATATTTATGGACTTGCCTAATCAGAATGCCTTTGTACACCGTTTTTCTGATCCTTCATTGTGTCCAAGGTGATTTGTATATATAAATAGATAATATTTACATGTTATATTTTGGCCCAACACACACGAGGCCTTTTAACACTTGAGGCCAGTGTTTTACTGCTTGTTCTGTATTGGAAAAAATACCAGTCTGGGGATATTTCCTGGTCACTATTAAAATCAGATGCAGTTCTTTACTTACTGAAGCCACAAAAGCACCTTGCAAAGGGGAGACACAAAAAATTCAGTCACCCTAGAAATGTATCGTGGACACAGGAGAGTCCATTCCTCTCCAAGCAGCCTCACGGTCTGACAAAGCAATATAGAAGCCACTGATCAAGAACAGTCCTTCTCATAGCACTTCCCAATAGATATGAATGAAATGACATGGAAGCATATTATTTGGCTCTGTGTGTGATAGTATCGCAACTCTGTTGGGGAGGGTTATTTTTTAATGGAAATAAAATTTGTTTTTTTAATTTTTTGTGGTTTTCTGTCTTAATTTTAGGCTGATTTATAGTCAAATTGTTTTCTCAGAATGGATTCGCTCAGCAATTTATTAGAAAGGCAACAGGTGCCTTAAAACGAAGTAGATAGATGTACTCACTTTGGACTTGATGCTGTAGTCCAACACCAGGCAACGCTCTTCTATAGACTCTTTAAATAGTTTTCTTCATGAAATACAGAATTAAGAGAAGTTTTCAATTTAATTTAGTTTATTTATATAGCGCCAATTCACAAGACATCATCTCAAGGCACTTTACAGTTCACCAGATCATACAGTCAGGTTGATTCAAAGTTTTCTAAGGAAAACCAGTTGATTGCATCGACTCATTGACTCGAATGCAATCCCTTACACTAAGCATGCCTGTAGTGACAGTGGAGAGGAAAACTCTTTTAACAGGATAAAAAAACCTCAAGCAGAACCAGGCTCAGTGTGAGCGGCCATCTGCCGAGGCCGACTGGGGTTCAAGGAGACAGAAGCAGTGATACAAAAAGCAACTGTAAAAGGCGGCCCTGTCCAGGAAACACACAGCCAGGCAGACGAGCCAACCCACATGCCAGAGGACGAAGAAAGCACATCCAGCCAGTCACAGTCAAAGAAACAGGACTACACCAGAAAAACAGGCTGATCTCCAAAAACCATAAACAAAGGTGTTGATAGCAGCAGCACAGCTGATATTTCTCTCCAGGATGGTGTCCTAGCCAAACATGAACAGATGAGGCAAATTTACAATGAAAAAAAGCAGAGAGCATAACGTTAGAGATTGAACTAACAGATTCTGAAGAGTGGGAGAATAGAGATAGAATGAAGCAGAATGATGAAAAAGGGGTCCCTCTGTTCTCCAGAAGTCTAAGCCTATAGCAGCATAACTATAGAGATAGCTCAGGACAACATGAGCCACTATAACTATAAGCTTTATCCAATGTATTAAAAAAATCAGATCTTTACATTAGGGCTTTAAAGTATCGGCTCAATCCATTATTCACTGCTTGTTTATTATATTGAAGGGGATTTGCTTTACAATCTTTCAAAGCTTTAACTATTTCTTTAGCTAGTCTCATTTCATTTTTTTTTTCATTTCTTTTTTATTAAATTTCCTATATGTACTTTTAAATAAATCCTAATATCCGGTTAATTACGTTTGAGAAAAAAAATGCACATTTAAAAACTAATCTTTTTTTCTTGAACAAAAGACATTGATTTACATTTTAAAGTAGGAATCTCCACTCTTCTTTCTTACAAAAAAAGAAAAAGAAAATAACAGTTATATTTAAAAAGTAATTGATGTATTCAGAAAAGTGGGGTTTCCTCGCGCTGAAGGCGGGGCCGGATTGTGACGTGAGCCCGCCTCTTCCTGTCGGTGTCAGAGAGCCAACTTCACCATATTTAGCTGCTCGCCGAAGCCTCTCGGAGTTCTCCTGTCAACCAGCCTGGGAATCCTGACACTCATCGGCGAACACACCGCGGGACTGACAGCCGACTTTTACAGCTTGGACACAACTTACTGACGTCAGCGGAAGACGGAGCACGGCGAAAAGCGACCTGCCTGAAACAGCTGTTTTAATGGGATAAAAAAAAGTGTACGTCGCCTGTCAGAATTCCAACTATCAGCCGTGCTAGCCTGCTAGCTGCTTATTTTAGCTGGTCAAACGGCTCCCTTTCCCCGTTGTGAAAATATTTATGTCATCTCTACGGACCGCCATACATCGGCAGGGATTTATGTGGACTTCATGACCCCGCTGTGATGATCTCCTGACAGCTCCTCTCTTCCCTTCCAACCATTTTATACGAAAGCCAGGCTAGCGAGCTGACTGGGCTAACTAGCTCACAGCAGCCAGTAGCTTTAGCCTTGGCAGCGGAGTCTGAGTTTATCTGTCGACGTGCGAAAAAAGGTGGTTTGTGGAGAAAAAACGAAAAGTATCGGCTGGTGAAACGTCCATAGAGGAAGGAAGGAAGGGAGGGTTGCCTTTTCAAAGTAGGAGAGGAGGGGGTGTCTGGTGGGTGGGTGTGCTTAGGACACGCTGTTTCACAGCGGAGGCAGAGGAGCTGCACTCCCGAAGGAGACACCGGACTGAACGGAGGAGTCCCCAACGTTTGACATCTGTGATCCGGGAAGCGAACCGGGCAGAGACCTCATGAATGGAAATCGGAACTACAGGTAATAAAGCCTGCATTTTAAATGTTCTCAATCGGTTCACAGATGGGTTACAGGTGATAGATCCGTGAAACCATGGAAGGTTTCTGATCATATCATCGCCAAGACATGACTGGGAGTAAGAGGAAATATTAGTCATGTTTAGGTTTCAGGGGTAAATTTTACAGCGAATTTCAATTTCGTTGGTTGTACTGAGGAGATGGTTCTGTTCCATTTCCATCATCAGTCAGGTGTGGGCTTCAATGCTGGTCTTCTCTGAACATGTGACCCCGGCTGAACTCTGACCTCTACATATTTAGCCTGTCCCTTTAAGCCCAACATCTGTAATATGGTACACATGCTTGGTGAGCAGATCTAAAGTGAGGTTCAGACTCTGGTAAAAGGTTAATATCTGAGGTAAATAAGAAAAAAGACAAAGTGATAAACAGACAGTAAAACAACTTGAATGATGCCCACAAAATTAATTTCAGGGAGCTGAAGTTGTTTTGTTGCTTAAATTATTGGTTTATTTCTGTCCTATCCTTGTACATGGAAATCAGAGGAAAAAATGTGACCTGAAATAACCCCCTTTTTTTTTGGGCAAAAAAATCTTCAACTGATGACCTTTGATTTAAAATGTTACCTTTTTTAATGGAAATTAATTAAAGTTATTTTATGTATAGCAATCCATATATTCTATAATAAGCACCATGGGATATTGTCATAAATGTAATTGTTTTTAAAACACTCCTTTTAGGTAAAACAAGACACTTTAGTCCAACTAAAACATAAATAATAGCCCCAGGCTGTGACTTTAACAGGAATAGATGCAAATTTGGAGCAAATTATATCCTTTATTTATTCAAAATTTATATAATTTACTAATATTGAGTTTAGATCATTTCTAACAACAAGGAATCTAAGATCAAAATGGACTAATGTCCGTTAAAAAATGTATCTTATTTTTAAAAATAACATAAAATTAAATTGTCTAGAGGTGTTTTAAATTAAATTTCTTTTTGTTTACACCCCTGTATACAAAATGAGAAAATAAATCTGTCTAAGTTTAATTATTTTTGATATTGTTATCTTATGGGGGTGAATCCATCAGATCAGAGCTTATACAAAGCGTGGATCAAATTAAATGAGACTGTTTTAGCTCATTTATTAACTGGTTACAAATTACAGTTACATTGCTTCAACATTTGCTGACTATTCCTTTAACCTTTTTTAAAGATAAATTGAAATATTCTCAGCTTTTCATTGCTTCTATTAATTTCTAAATCTTATTTCTAAATGTGTTTAGATCATTTCTTTTTTTGCGTCCCCCCTCCTCCTCCACATTGATCCCAGTGGCAGTTAAACAGCCTTGAACCACCTGTCTTTGTCTCCATTGTAACGGAAGCTTTCCTCTTAGGTGACCATAAACTCAATGCCTGGTTCTCTTGATTAGTCACTGATACATGATACTGAAGTTGGTCCGTTGCCGGCTCCCACCTCATTCAAGTGGAGATCCTCCACGCCGCCTATTCTCCTCCTCCTTCATTTTCCCAGCCTTAATGGCAAATGGGACTGCAGGGTGTTTTCCCACCATCATGTAGAGACAGAAAAAATAGCTTTAGGGTTAATATGGCATTTTATATTGCAGTTTATTTGTTCGTGTATAAATATTTTTTTCTTTTAATCCAACTACTGACAAGCGTATAAATCTTGCAGTTCTACTTGAAAACGATTGTTTGGGAAAATAAAATCCAATATCCTTAGTAACTCCTGCTATCGTAGTTTACTACCCCAGCTCCTCAATCAGCACGGCTGCCAGGAGTGGATGTGTTTGCTCAGGGCTCTCTGAGAACACAGCACATGGAGTTCCATAGAACACGCTGCTATCTGGCTTTATATAGTGTGTTAAAAGTCTTGATGCTTTCACTTTGAAATACATTAGTGCATTAGTAGAGATTAGAGCTGCTGCTCTATCTTTTCTAGTCTGTCTCGATAAATTGTGTTCCTGTTGTTGATTGGCAACCCTGCATCGCTGCGTTGTACTTGCTGACTTCTGAGACCTGTGCTTGGGTGAATGATTAAAAGGGGCCCCTCCATTGGTCAGTCTGTGGCCGAGAGAGAGAGCGGTGTGAGAAAATGCTAATTGATCACTTAGTCTGTTTCCTCTTTTGCCTTGGCATGGGTCTGACCAGACTATGGGAATCGTCGCACTCAAGAGCTTAGTACCAAGGTCAATAGAAATGAAAGGTGCTTTAGAAAGTGAATTGCATTTAACAGTATGCCTATACATGGCATGAAGAAGAGGAAAATGTAGGTCCATTGTTAAAGTCCTCACTCACATTTGATGTTTTGGATATATGTGGGAAGCTGGTTTTATTAATCAAATCGTTTTGCTTTTTTTTCTCTACAATTGATCACAAAACAATGTAATCTACAAAAAATGATATGAAATAATACATTTCTTCTTTTTTGTCTAGTGTGCTTTTTTGTTTTAGTCAGTTTGTTTTGTGCGTAGCAGCATTAAATCAAAACTTTCAAAGTTAATATGGAAACCATCTCATTTTATGGTGTCGTCGGTGTATCGGGCAGCAGTTTACTGGAAGAATGATGAGACTTTCAGAGAACAGCTGGTAGTGGTTTATGGGGGGGTCCCACCTGTCACATTGCACTCAGGTGGGATCTGAGTTGGCTTCAGATTAATCGGTTTGGTCGTAACTAGACCCCTGGTTGAGCTGGGATTTGTATTAAACTTAGAATAGAAACTAGAGTGTTTTTCTTTCATTAAGGTATTCAGTAAAAGTCTGAAATAACATATGGGTAGATGTTATTAAACCACACGCTTTATTTTTCTGAAATTTTTTCTTTTTTTAAAGCTGCCTTTGTTCATTCCTCTTATTCCCGCTCTTTTTTGATTTATTTATTCACAGACAGTTACGACCCCCCCGAACCCTTTCTTTGCTCCTCCTTGGTTACTGCTTCTGTTTCCCTCCCTGTGCCCCAGTGGGAAACCCTGCCTTCTCTGTCACTTCTCCTTGTAGGTCGATTCTCTGTGGATTTTGTACAGACAGTAGGGCCGGCTTTGAGGCAGGGCTTAGCACTTGATTTGCAGTCCCTCCTCATAATGCTGAGTTCATTCAACCAGCCGCTTCTCAATGGGTTAGAACCCCCCTGCTCCCTCCTTCTGCAGGCCCCGCCACCCATACGGCTAACTATTGGCATATTGTTGCTGGTTTCTATGGAGAATGCACTTTAACAGCCTTCCTGTTCACTGCTGTTCAACTTCCAAGGGTTCTAGACATCTTTCATCATTTTCTTTTCTTTTTTTTTCCCAGTCCTAAAACCTAACCTTAAGGACACCAAAAATAAACATGTTTATGTTACATTGTCAGCATTGTTTAGTTTTGTTTTTCCCACCCCAACATGGGCTGGTATGAGATTGTCAGGGTATGTTAACCTTTAGTGAACATGACTATGTCTGTCTTTAAAGCTTTGTTTGTTCTGCTGTTTCTAAAATAATAGAATTGATAGAAAGATTGGTACCTGGAACAGGAGGCCTCTTTATTTAGTTTTTTTTTTTAAAGCTCATGGATGATAAAACTATTAAACAGAAACCACATCTCCTAAATGATAAAGCTCAGGAACTTAATGCTGCTGCGATTTGAGAGGATTTAAAAAAAAATCGAATTGGGGAAAAATAAGGGTAAGATTTTTTGAAGGAATTAAATCTTTTTCATCATTTTCGATAATAAAACCTATGCAAAGTTAATTTCCCAAGGTAATAGCTATTGATGTTCAGATTTAGAGTAAAAAAAAACAAAAAAACAAAAACAAAAAACAGAATCATGCATTAATATATTAATGGATGTCTTGTTTTAATTTTTTTTTTTATTTTTTTTTTAGGAAAAACGTTAATTTGCAGTACTGTTTCTACATATTGCTGTAACATAATCAGCTATCACTAAACAACAGTTTCCTTTGTTGTTTTATTAAAAGTTTTTATGTAATAAAATCAGAAACAACCCCATTTTCTCTGAGGTATTTAAAGCTTTTAAAACTGATACGTTGAGGATCCTGTGCCATTACAGACCTTTTGGTCAGTTGGTACTGGCAGGCTTAGTGTAAATGCAAGGCTTTGAAATATGATATCACATAAGTTATAGCGTCCAAGGATGCCCTTGCAGTTGAGATATTGCAAATATTAATACTGGCATGATAACTACAGTTTAGAATATTGCCCTAATTTGGATAATATATAATTTGTCAACCATAATGTTTCCCTGATTGTTTGTAGATAGCATTAAATTACAGATTACATTAATTAAATGCACAATTCAACATTAGTCAGCACGTTCTATCTGTTATATCCATCTGTTTGGCAGGGATAGCAAGGCTTCATTTAAGCCATTACTGTTCAAAACCAAATTCTGTTCTGTTTTACCTGCTCAGCAATACATTTAATTTATAATTTAATTTTATAAAAAAAAAAAAAAAAACATAACCACGCATGCACCTCAAAAAAATCCCGACTACGCGTTGGACATTCGCAAACCCGCACAGACCTCAAACGGAATTGCGCAGACAAAAAGCAGCTGTGATTGGTCCTTGGTATGCTTTCAGGCTGTCTGTGTGGTCGTCCTTCTCGATTTGGTGCCGGGGCGCACCATTAAAAAAAACAAAAAAAAACGAAGTGTAATAACAACAATGGATAACCACGACGAAAGGTTGATCGAGGAGGTTCGGAAGTACAACCACTTGTACGATGCCTCAGACGTGTTGTTTTGGAAAATAAACCCTCCCCCCGGCGCCGCTGAAGAAGTTCTTGAATAGGCTCCCCCCAGCGCTTTAGCGGGAAACTGCTGTGCATCCCTAGAAATTCCAGATAGACGTTGCAGAAGCATACCAGCAAAACTGGTTCACCACCAGACCCAAGTGACATTTGATGTGTGCGGTTGCAGAAGTATAATCCGCCCTTTAGCCCACACTGCTCCCCGGGTGCCGCACAATGGCAGCCCACTGCTCTGCAA